GTCTCGCTCTTGCTCAGGGTGGTTTCGAACTCCTGAGCTCAAACAATCCGCCCGCCTCGGCCTCCCAGAGAGCTAGGATTACAGGCATGAGCCACCGCACCCGGCCTCGCAAAATTATTTGATATAATGAAATAACTATTGTTCTAAGCCACTAAATTTCGGGGAAATTTGTTACATAGCAATAGGTAATTGGAACATGCACTTTCTCTCTACTTTCTCCTTTCTCTCCTTCTAAAAACTAGCAGTGGAAGCCAAAGGAAGTCATGCTAATATAGTGAGTACTTGTACTCATAAGTTTGGCTCTGAAGACAGTGTAGGCACAGTGTTGGGAGAAGAAACTATACTCTAATCACGAAGCTTGGTGTAGGGCATTGAGCCTCTAACGCTTCTAGAGAAAGGAGATTAACCTGGAAGGCAAGTGGCTACCTACCCATCAGGCTTGGCACTGAAGGCCATGGAGCCTCCACCAGGCACCATGGAAGGCCATACCTGCCTCATGAGCTCCTCTTGGCGCATTCTAATCCTCTCTCTCTCCATCTGGATCCTCTGCAGACGCAGTTTCTGCTGCTGCTGCTGCTGAGTGGTCAGCGCATTGGGCATACTCATGAGCCCTGCTGGTGGGTTCTGAGTAGGGTGGTTCTGTTGGCTCAGGGAACTGGGTGCCATTTGCTGCTGGTGTTGGTGATTCATCACTACAGAAGGGAAGAACATACAGGAGGATTAATAACCAGGGCCAGCAACACTTTATTGAAAAGAGACCATCGAAATGCTTTGTGCTTTGGAATATAGATTCCTGAGATTCCTTCCAGAGTACCTTCTTGTTAATTATTATTATTTAAATAATTATTACCTTAATTCAATTCATGGAGGCTCAGATGCTGGCCCTACTCCTGACTCATCTACTTCCAGCTTTTGTGCTATGTTAACAATCTTATTTCACAACTTCCCTGTGTCTAGAGTACATAGAACATTAGGTGGTCGAAAGAAAATCCCACAAAGGTTATCACAACTTATGAGATAATTTCACCAGGACATCTGTGTGTGTGTGTGTGTGTGTACGTGTGTGTGTGGTGTGTACTTTCTCAGATAATTTGTATGTTTATGGCAGAGTCAAGGAGGGCATGTGATCATTGATACACAGTGGGTATACAATAATATTTAGGACAAATAAGTGAATTGATAAGCAACATGTGAAACACAGTACCTAGATCAGGAACCTGCACATAAGCAGTACCCTATTAATGCTTTGTTTAAAAAGGTGCCCCAAAGAAGCCCGACATAAACTCAGGAACAAATATCTGATTGAGAAAGAATGTTTGTTTTTGCAAAGGGAAAAATTAGTGAGAAAGAAATTACACAAAAATGCTAAACATGTTTGTGATTGGATAAAGGTGCTACAAGTGTTTTAAATTTTTAAAGAATTCTCTGCTTATTTGCATTTACCAACATTTGAAATTTCAGCACGTAGAACTTCACTTTTGAAAAGAATTTTAAAATCCTTTAATAAATTCTATAATTGGTATTCCCACAAAAATGTATTTTAAAAAGTGCTAGTTTTTCTCAAAATCATTTACCAGTCAAATTTACTTAACTTCTGTCTGGGCAATATCATATAATAAAGAAAACCACGCTTTTCAGTCTATTTGTTCCTAGGTCAGAGCCAAAGACAACAAAGTATAATTTTATATACTCATTTCATTTCCGAGAAAAAAAACCCTCAATTTTTGCTATATTTGGTATCACTAACTTAAAGGATAAAAAT